ACACACAATGTAGGAAGGAAGGAAGGAAGGAAGGAAGGAAGGAAGGAAGGAAGGAATGTTTCAGAAGAGAGATGGTGACAATGATGTAGAACAAATAGGAAAAAAAGAGACAGCAAAGGATGTTTGCGTGCAACTCCTTAAAACTGCTAGAGATTGAAGGCAGGATTTCACACTTGATAAGCACGTACTGTGCCAACTTTGTTTTTAAAGAGATGTTAAAGCATTAGCTGTCTGTTACCTTAGCACTAAATGTGGTTATATCTAATTAACCTCGTTCTTAAAGCACCGATATCTACTTGGCCACTAAGAATTCTTGAAATCTTAAATATAGGGAAAATATCTTTCATATCACTCATTCACTGCTCTTTTTAAGAATTACCTTTTTTCTTAAATAAAATTTTTCCTGCTAATAAATTGCTAGAGAAATTACATCAGCTGTGCTTATATTATTTTTTTATATGTATATACAAATTTTGGGGTGCAATGGATGTCAGAAGGGGAAATAATAATTCCAGCAAAGGCACTCAGTGTGACTACAGAGTCATTTGTCAACAGACCCAAGGAAGACTGAATAGCTAACACACCCAAAATCTATCACAATATATGAAAGATATTAAGACAGTTAAGACTACAGAAAAAAAAAAAACCATAATCATGAGTGAAAACAATTATTCAAGAAACTGACATTTAAAAAGCATATAGCCAATTTAAAAAGACAATCCCAACTTGTAACATATGTAAAAATTAACTGTAATAAAGGAGGTTATTTTACTTCTAAAACATTAATGCGAAATTTATGGAATGAAAAGTCAAAAGTCCTTTAAGCAGTTTGTAATTCCTACTTGGGGGCCCCCAAATAACAATGCTTCCATCAAAACATTTACTTCTGGCACTTTTCTAGGATCTCATTCACTTTAGGGGAATATATATTAATTCCTGGAAGAATGAGCTATAACACAGTATAAACATGGACAGCTGCAAATACACTGAAAAGTGAACTGGGAACAATACAGAAGTGGAGATTTGTTTTGAATGGATTAATGAAAACTTAGCTACTAGGGTAAAGGCTAGCACCTGAACTGTCACATGTATTGCCTGGCAGGGGAGGAAATCTATTTTCTCCAGTGTAGTCATTTTGGGTCTATCAACCACTCCATGACAGATCTCATTGCCAGAAGTCACTGAGCAACTTACACTGGACACGATAGTTCTTTTGTGTGTACTTTTGTTAGGTCACACTTTGCTGTAGGTTTTATGGTGGGATGTGTTGTTTTATTTAGTTTTCTTGGCTGGGGGTGGGTTGTTGTATTGGGTTTTTGTTTCTTTGAGAAAGAACTTAAAGTTGGGTGGGTAGAGAAGGGGAGAGCATCTGAAGGACTTAGGGGAGAGAAAGAATGAGATCGAAATATATTTAAATTTAAAAATTGTTTTAAGATACAATTAAAATGTTCCTTAGGCATAGATCCCTCCCTCTGCTTGAGTTCTGCAAGGATTACAGGGGATGTTTATTTTCTTATATAATTACAGAGACCTTTACGTAAGCACTGATGCATATGTATCAGGAGGGTGTAGAGGAATATCTTGGCAGTTAGATAACACCCAGTTTGCTACCAGTGCTGGTAAGAGCAGGTCACAACAGAGATTCTCCCATTCCTCTTAATCAACTAACTCTGTATATTCCTGATTTTTTTTTTTTGATAAATGAACAACCTTGAAGGGTATTACTGTTGGAAATGCCCAATCCTTGTGTGCACAAAACCTTTCTTACTCTCATAAGCTTTTACATTTCAATTCCTTGTATTTTTAAAACCACATTGTCATGACTAGTAGTCAATCAACAGCTAAAGTATTGCATGTAGGTATGCATTTTAAACAACTGAAAATGTGGACAATTCAACATTAGAAGAGTATTCTATTTAAAACATGAAGTGGAGTGGGGTGTTGGTGGTGCACGCATTTAATCCCAGCACTTGGGAGGCAGAGGCAGGTGGATCTCTGTGAGTTCAAGGCCAGCCTGGTCTACAGAGGGAGTTCCAGGACAGGCTCTAAAGCAATACAGAGAAACCCTGACTCAAAAAAAAAAAAAAAAAAAAAAAAAAAAAAAAAAAAAAAAAAACAAGCAAACAATCAAAAAGCATGAAGATGAAGTGGTAAGATATATGCCATGATATTAAAAGGAGATAATCCATAAAGAAAGTACAAAGTACTTATTCTTTGATATTTAAATTTTGGAGGGTGACAGGAAATAGAACTAATGGCCTTGAATATGCCTGTATTTTTTCCCTAACATACCCCCCCACCCAGTTTAAGAAGAATAACATATAAATAGCTAAAAGACACTCCAGAGATGCCATTTGAACTAGAAAATCAACTCTGCAGGCTTCTCTGAGCTTTCCGGACTGACTAGAAGAATCTGGCATCTAAATATCAGAAATCACCAGTTCCCCACATTTTCCCATGCTGTGATGCTCACAAAGACCTATAGACATCCCCTCGTGTTCCTGGGAGGCACAACTTCCTCCTGTCGAGAACACTGGTCTATAACATGGATGTCTGTGCATCCACACCATCCGGTGTGAAAAGGGCACCGTTAGAAGAAACATAGGGGTAGTGAAGAGATTTAAAGTAAGACAAAGATTGTGGAAGGCTAAGTTTCTATACTAAAATAGTATGCATCTGTTTATTAGATGACTGAGAATTGTAATAATAAATGCACTTGATAAAAATAATCTGAGATTGTATGACAGTATTCTGAAATCAGAAACTATTCTATCAAACTTTGGTGAAATTAAGAACTCTGACTGATGAGCACATATGAAGTTACAATCAAACAGAACACATGCACAACATTTCAGAGCTCTACCACCACCCATTCTATTTATTATTATTATTATTATAATCATTATTATTATCATGGAGATAGGGTCTCTCCTGTAGTTCTGGCTATCTTGGAACTTCCTCTGTACACCAGGCTGGCCTTGAACTTATAAAGATCTAGCAGTCTCTGCCTCCGGAGTGCTGGGATTTAAGACATGCACTACCACCACCTGGCATTTTGTTCTAATTTTAATTTTTAAAATGATTTAACAATAGAAAATTTTGTTTTCAAAACTAGTATTTACTAACTGTGGGATGGGGATCAAATTACTTTCTCTAATTTCCACCTGTAAGATAAAGTAATATGAAAATTGACACAGACTTCTAAAAGAGCTTTCTAAAGGCCCTAAGGGTTGAACCCAGTACTATTATGATATTAAATGGACACATGAATAAATGGAACTTAAGTTATCTTTATTCTCAGAGACTAGCACATCTCTCAATCCTCTTCAGAGAAGCTTCATTGTGCAGTAGAGCCAATCAACCCAGAGATCTACCACAGGTTGCTGCAGAGAGATAAGGAGTGTGCAGCTCTGCATAAGAGTTCCATGTCGCACTCCCTCCTCTCAGGGACTGGGGATTAGTAGTAGACTGCAGGAGAAAGATGTCTGCAGAAAAACAGTGTTTTCTGGACATGACAACACATTTGTACACATGGGCTCACATGCCTGAGACAGCACGCAGAATAACTGTACAAGATTAAACCAGACAAAATCTGGTTAGGGAGGAGTTCACCTCTGTCTAAGGAGCTATTGTCAATTCATGGCTGCTGAATGAGCAGAGTTGGTCTTCTTCAGGGATGCAGGCCCTGAGAGGCTACCTATCATCTAGTAAATGTCCCCGCATCTATGTATGTACAGAAAGGCACTAAATGAAGCATTAACAGAGAAAGAGAGAGACAGAGGCACACACAGACAAACATACATACAGAGACAGATGAAGACTATATAAAGCTAGGAGGTTTTGAAAAACAGTGTTACTTTTTGTTTGCTATGAAGACACCATGATGAAGGCAACACAATCTTCACTTTTCTATCCTGTGTCTGGTTTTTACAAAGACAATGTTTTATAAAGCATTGCTTACAGCTTTAAATTGTGGCAGGAGTATGGCATCAGACAGGCAATAATGTTTCTGGAGAAGTATCTGAGAGCTACATTCAGATCCATATGAAGTAGACAGAAGGAAACTTGGCATGACATGGGCATTTGAAACCTCAAAGCCTTTCCCCAGTAACACACCTCCTCCAAGGCTACTCCTCTTAATCCTTTCCAAAGAGTTTAACAACTGGGATCAAGCATTAAAAAAAAAAAAAAAATCTCACTCAAACCACTCTATGTGGTAAATGGGAAAGGGGAGAAATTGAAGAAGAGGAATTGGTAGAAGGACTTTAGCCAAACATGCTCATATTTAAATAGTAAGTAAAACGTCGTTAGACTTTTAAATGACTTATGGTCTCCCTAGTGCTTTGTTAATTGTATATGGATATTAAGTAGTAATGGGTATTGTGGACATCCCTTATCGATGCACTACACAACTTTATATTTAAAGATCTTAATGCTTAGCTTTGAACCTTGCTTTAAGGATAAGCCCAGATGAAATGTTGATCTGAAGTGTCAAGATCAAGCCTTTGACCTCTCATGCGATGAGAGACTGTTGCCTCTGCTTTGCTCTGCTAGCCGACTTCGTGTTGAACGCTGCAGTGAGCATCCATTTCTTCCAGTTAGATGTTGTACCCCCTGCATTTGTGCTTATTTAATTTTAAACTTCATCAAAATAACAGTGAGTCTTATACCACACACCCAATCTCAAATGGGCAGAAATTAATGTCGACATAATTCAAGATGATGCCACGAAATAAAAACTAGAACATAAGGACAAATTACCCTTAGGGAAAACAAAAAAGAAAGAAAATCTATTACTTCCAGAATATTAACATGTGCCATCACATGAGCCAGCTACCACCACAGTGCAACACACTGAACTCCCTCACAACACCACGGAATCAGAGGCTGTATTTTTCGACTCCCTTTCCGTCATTGTCGGACACCACTTGTGTCTTGATAACTACTCTTCAGCTACGTGAACTTTTAACCACCTTTCAATGTGAAGGAAGCGTGCCTACCTCTGCAGTGTTTAATTGTGTCAACGGTTAAGAATCTCTTCACCACAAGATAAGCAGAACCAGGTTCAGCTAATGAACTCCACTGAAGCACCTGCTCCAACACATTCTCTGTGTAGTGAAGAGGACGCTCTGCAAACACAAACCCAAGTTAAGCTGAAACAGATGCAGAAATGTATTTAATGATTACAGGTTTGCAAAAACCAATAAAAATCCCAGGGAAAGGTAAGTATACAATGGCATACATATATTTTCATTAAAGAGTAATAGCACTACAATTGCAAACGAGAACCAAAATACACTGAGGTAACACACGCAGTCCAAATTATTATATAAATTAATCTATGCAACTGCTATTTCAAAATTTAGAAATGATCCCTTTAAGATAAAATGTCATTTACAACAATGACCATGTGTCATACTCTGTTTTTAATTTAGATAATGTTCTTATTAGCATATGCAATTAAATAACTTTAAGAGGACTAGCAGATTAATCGTTTCCAATATTAATAGGCAAAAACTAATCCTTTGTTTATCTCAATTAGGTTATAATTTTATAATTTCCAATCAACAATAGTAAATAATTTATAGTGTTCTCATACCGAATCAATACCAATCGCAAAATATGGTTGCAGACAACTGTTGAAAGTAAGAATAGCACATTTCTTGTTCTACTTTAAAACTATTAGTAGCAATATGTGAACCTTACAGTGATATCATAAAATAACTCTATACAAGAAGCCTACAAGCAAAGAATTAAATGATGTCTGAAGCAAATCTCTTTGATGACTCCTAATCCATATATATTTTGCTTTAGAAAACTGCATCATACATTCTTAGCACGGTGTTTTACAAAACATTTTCAGCAATAAAAATTGAAATTTCATAAGGAAGTTCCATTTGTGAATTAAATTTTGTCAACTTGTTAATAAAGATGTGTACAAAAGCATTTTCTGGGGGTATGCAAGCTTTTTAATAGTGGGCTGGCAACAAATAAAGAAGAGTGGACAGAACAGAAGTTCTGACATGAAGATGCCACTGCTCTTTCTCAACCCTGCAAGATGTGCATCGGTCCATTTTTTCAGATCCCAGCTGTACCTCACATAAATCCTGGAATATGTTTGTAGTTCAAGTACTGATGCTAACAAGCACAGAAGAGAACACGGCAGGAGTACCTAGCTGCGACTAGTCCTACTGAAACTGATGACAGAATCATGATAACTACGCAATAAATACACCACCTCCTCTCCTGCTATGACTACATCATTTAAGAAGAGAGAAGTCATCAGCAAAACCAGCTCTCCAAGAAAGACATTAAAAGCTTGGCTTCTTATCCATAAATGAAAATGGAGCTCCTTCTGTGCCCATTAAATCATGTCTACTTATTACTGTAATTGCTATTAACTATGAATCTTAAAGGCATACATGCACAAAGCACAATGCTGGCTACACAGTATATTCTCAGTGACTATCTCAGGACTCAAGTCCATTCTGAGTTTATAAATTAACAGAAAATACTTATCAGATAAACAAAACACTGTCATTGTAAAAACCAAAGGACAAAAAATTATCAACTGTCTGTGGTGTATTAACTTTGGTCTATACAAATCTTTTCTGAAAAATTGGACAGAGATCAAAATTGCTTATAATTTGTCTATGTCGTTACTCAATTACTGATTAAAGAGATAGACTCACAAGCAAATCCTCAGAGAGTTGGAAGTAGATAGATCCAAATGTAAATCTAATCATAGTAAGTACTCCCTTTATACAACTGTTGAGTTAACCACATACAGGCTGATAGTACTGATCCCAGTAGAGGCTAGGCTGTCAATTTCTAGGATAACCACTGTGCAGATGCTATATGTATCGTGTACAACATATCAATTATCACTTACATTCTCACAACCCATCTCTTCAGTACCAATCACTAATCTTCTTACTTTCTATTGAAGAGGACTACTCACAGAACTTCTCCCTTTAGCCTACTCATCTACCACAAGAACCAGAGATTTGAAACCAAAACCTACTGCACTTTAAGTTCTAATATTTTAAGTTAAATTCTTAGGTTTATTTTGATAAACGATGTAAGTCTCCCATAATTTTTTCTGATATGTAATTTTTGGGAGGAAAGAGAGCCCAGAGATGTTTTTGAGTCCAAAATAATATAATAAGAGGGAAAAAATCAATTTCTCTTCTTCCTTTCACAGGTAAAGAAACATTATATGCAAGGAAAATGATTGAGCAGTAAGTGTGACAGGTGTGACGTGGCAGGTGTAACACCAGCACTGGATGAGCTACGTAACAGAATTCATAAAGAATTTCCAATTATCAGAAGACCTGTATCACAGAGGGTAACTATCACACTCAATTATAAGCAGATTCTACGTTGATGGAACTGTGTTCTCACTATACGGAAATGTGTTAGGGTAGACACAGAGGCTTGTTAATGGTAGATAATTAATTCTTATCACAAAATTTAAGTGTATTTTTTTTTCTGGTCAGGATCACAGTATGAAATAATTGAGTAGGATGAGAACCTTGCGATTTCAATTTCCTAGATTAAAAAATAGAGTTGAAAATGAAGAGATGGATATTACAGCCCATCAAACACAATTGTACAATGACACAAATTTCCAATTTAAGAAAGGGTTGAAAAGTAGATTGAGGTATGAAGCACTGTTCGACTATGAATAGTTACAATCACTCTGTTGATGGTGCTATTTACAGCCTTTTGTCACTTTGTGTCATGGCAGATTACATAGGATAGAGTATGTACCAGTTATAAGCAGGACATTATATAGAATCAGTAGTTTGTACTGTCTACTTCATGCACACTGACAGAAAGAAATTCAGTGTAAAGAGAGAACAGGGGAGGAAAGAGGCTCTCCAGTTATATAGAAATAATGTCATTAACTGTTTAAAATCATATGCAAAGAATTAACCTCATCTACTTAGTTCAATAGGAGAGCTAGTGAATTTTCACCGGAAATAACAGCTGCTATCAATAAATATCTGCCATTGACAGCACGGGGTTCCACAAATGATTATGGCATTTCCACTTCCAATTCTTTGGGCCAAACTCAGGGCAAAATCCTCTCTTCATTCCTACTGGTATTTGTTAGCATTTTCCATACAGGTGTGGAGGGGAAGAGCTTGAAATAATATTAATAAAATACATGTAGTTCTTCCATACCATAGTATTTATAAGTAAAAGGGGAATGATTTGCTATCATATTGCTGCACAGGAAGTACTTGCTTCATAAACTCAAAATCCTCAGTGAAGTCTACATAAAGGAGGTTCCTAAAGCAGATAATTCTTTGAGAAGTATAGGACATACAGAGAGGGTGAGATCAGTTTGGGGGCTAAGTACTAAGATCACAGCATGGCTTAGAACAGATTAGTTGCTGATGGAGACAAAACAAACAAACAAAAAAAAATCCTCTCTGTTACAGCTTAGGTTCTGAATGATCTCCAAAGGTCAGGTCGTGTGTTGAAGATTCAAGCCAGGGCCTATGGTGCTCTTTGGATATAGTGGAACCTGTGTCTAGTGTCTGTAAGGGAAGGATGCCAGCTCATTGGGGCATGTTCTTGAAGGAGAAACTAAACCAGTAGGTTTATCACTGCTATTTGTGACAAGGACAGAAAGCTGTTGATCAGAAATTCAACAGAAAAAAAACGATGGGTCACAGATATGATCGCAGCTTATACATGAATCAGAAGGCTCTGTAATTGATTTGTGGGAGGAGTGGGTAATGTCTGCAGAAGGATAATAGAGACCTAGCATGGAATAAAGAGAAATTAATAGGCATTTATGATCTGTATCACAAAAGCCCAGATAATAAATGGAAATGTAAATAACATAGCCTAAGGGTAGAAATGATATCTATAACAGAGTATTAGTATTTTATCTTGACCAAAAAAAAAATTGAGCATATTTTATCCATGTCTAGAAATTTTGTGGAAGGTCGAAATGGTGGAATAATCAGGGAATGAGGAAGCAACAAAAAGATGATTTTAATGATGGAACAACATAAAACGGTTTGTGGCTTACTCAGTTAATCTTGGCAATAACTATAACAGATCTCTTTTACCTACAAATACAATGAAGGTGGGAATCAATGTGATTTCTTTTAGGAAAAAAAATCAAAAGCATCTAGATCATATGGTCATATACTATGCTTTATTTAGTCAAGATTTTAAATGTATTGCTATTATTTATAATGCACAGAGTTGGAAATTAGAGGCAAAACCAAATTAAACCAAAAATGCATTAACTAACTCTACCATGAAACATTTATCAAGGCAGGTAGTATGTGCACCGATGTAGGTCACTGCAGAGACAGTTTGGTTCTAGAGTTTAAAAGAGGCCATCAGGTGGCCAATGGTGGGCTACGGTGGGCAAGAGAAAGATACAGATGAAAAATTGCCATCTGCCAATGCTAGTCAAACACAACGAACAAGTAAAAGTAGAAAAAGACAACAAAAGGAAATTCACAAAGACAAACACAATTTGCAACAATGGACGGAAGAGGAAGAAAGTGTAAATCTGATGATACGAGTGAAAAAACCAGAGGAACATGGGGATGGCACTGAAAATAGGCTGGGTGTGACCGCAGGAAAAAAGAAAGGTCATTAACAATAGATGGCATGGAATGTCAGGCAGAGCAAAGATGAAAGCAGGGATGCTGTGCTTCACAGCTGGGGGCTCAGGGGAGTCATTTTCCAGAGCAATTCTGTCCAAGTGGGCACAAAGGGAAATACTGAGAATTGACACCCAGGCACTAGGGAACACTGGGTCTTGACAAGATATATTGGCAACATCATGCTGTACGTCCCATCAATGTTTAAGGAACTAGGCATGAAAAAAAAATCAAATGAGTAAAAATATTGAGATGGAGTGATGCAGGGGAACATACTAATCCCCTCCCACTCCAATTCTGACTTCAATATTACAAATAATGCCTCCTGGGGTGCCTCAACACTGAATTTTCATTTTTATCTTGAGCTTGTGGGCGGCAAGGGCTTCCTTTTGGCAGCTTGACAGCTATACTTGAAAGGGTCCCAAGACCTTAGTAGGCATCAGCTAGACAGATGGTCAAGATATAATGAAATTCTACAACTTATTTTTTTTTTCCTAGAGGTCTTTAAAACCAAATGGTGTCATTAGAATGTTAAGCCTATTCAGCAATTCTCAACCAGGCTAGGCAAGGTGTTTGAAATGGTCTCTTTAGTCTTCAGTTTATTTGGGAGAAAGGATGATAAACTGATAAAATTGATGATAGAGGAAAATGAAACAGGCAAAGGAGAGATTTCTGCTGGATCTAAAATTATTGATTTTCAGTGAGCAATAATATTTGAAATATTCATCACTTGTTCTTACTAAATAAAGACCATTCAGAGATAAGGTGACGGAAGATGACATTTAGGATATTGTTATAAATCAAATTGTTTGTCCTTATAAACAAAAACATTATTTAATGAGGCAGCAAAAATATACCTAAGGATCTATACTTATTTAAATAGTTAATGAAAGAATTCATTATTCTGATGAGCAGCATCATAGGATGTGAACCTCAAGTAGTGATAACATATGTCAAGACAGGCACAGAGGTGGAATGGAATTCACATTGAAATGTGAATCTTCTGGAAAACAGCAAATTGTTACTAATAGCTTGTCACGAAGTGTACCTTTTTTTATTATAAGGCATTAGAGAATCTCTAGCATAAAAACCACTCACCTAGCTCTTCATTTTCAATGACTTCAAAAGTAGCCCAAATATCACCTTTAGTAGGAACAATATTTTTTATTGCTAATATATCATTAGTTAACTCTTCAGCTTCCATTACAGGAGATATCTGAAAGAGAAGGAATATATCTTCAATGATGTCTGGTATATAATGAGTTTCATTCTAGGGTGATCAGGTTCCCCAACTCATGATTCTCCAAGAACAAAGAAAACATCACAGTGAGATTTTTCTCTAAAAAATACATTGTAATATAAAGTTAAAGAGATATTGTAATACAGAGACATTGGGGAGAACTATTTTTCTTAATAAGCAACTAGGTCACTCATGCAAGATATACCCAGTCTTCTCTCTCTCTCTCTCTCTCTCTCTCTCTCTCTCTCTCTCTCTCTCTCTCTCTCACACACACACACACACACACACATTTTATTCGGTATGAACCCTAAATAACGTGAAGAGGATTAAATAGTATCTGCCATACCAAGAAGCCTCAGGGTTTTGGTGTCTGTGGTATTCACTGCAATGCCAAGTAACAGATGGCTGCATACCAACATACAAGGTGCATTTCAGGATTCAGTAGTCTCTGCAGTGGCAGCCTGGGGCCCAGATCCCTAAGCATCTCAAAGACAGAGGCCACTGTATGAGTGTATCACATTTTGGGGGACTCTTGGGTCCCTGGGGTCTTGCCAATCTTGATTGGTATTATTAAAACCCAGCAGACATAGTAATAATTAAAACATTGCAACTGTAACTAAGTTTGTATGAATTTCCTAACCTAAAATTTAGTTCAAATTGCTTATCAATCCATAGTGTGTGTGTGTGTGTGTGTGTGTGTGTGTGTGTGTGAGTGTGTGTGTGTGTGTGTGTGTGTGTGTGTTTCATTATAGATGACTGGCTTGTTATATCTTCATGAAATTCGGGGTTTAATTCATGAAATGTATTGTCTACACAATGAGTATTTAGAGAACCTTCTATTTAGAGAAGCATAAAGAACTGTAAACTTACATTGGATCTGAGCATCCAGTAAAAGTGGAGGACATAAAACAACGGAAATAGCAAGTAGATAATTCCAATTAAATCTGCATTACTCTAAATATTGTTAAATTGTTATTATTTATTGTTTATATTGTCATTTTATTATGCTGTGGGTTCGAATGCTTTTCCTGAATGTGTGCTTACATACCACTTGAATGCATGATGCCCACCGAGGCAAGAAGAGGGTTTCAGATTTCCTAGAACTAGAGTTACAGATGGTGTGAGCCACTATGGGGTTCTAGGAATCAAACTAGAACAGCCATGTCTCCTAACTGATGAGCCATTGCTTCAGCCCTGGAGAGATTTTTTTTTCTTTAAAATTTTTTAAATTTTTAAATTTTAAAATTATTTTTCTTTAAAATATCGACCTTTCTTAAAGAACTAAAATAAAAAGCAAAACATATGTAAAGTAGGTAGCAGGAAGTAACTTGGACCCTACATGCAGGAAAGTATTAATTTATGAATTGCAAACAACAGTGTAATGAATATCGGGGTTAGGGTATGAAGACCCAGGTCTGTGGTGTGCTCCTAAGGTCTTTCAGTTCCCATTTTTCATTCCCTAAAGCTTGGTATAACATCTGCCTCCAGGGCTTGAGGTCAGAATCAGCAGTATGAATACAGAAACATGGCTTTTCACTATTAAACCTGTGTGCAAAAGGAGCTGATTATTTGATTACTGTGTATAGTTTGTTACTGCTGTTCTGCTTTTGGGGGATCATTTAGAATTACATAGTCTTTTATTTTAAGACAGTGAGAAAATATGAGAACTTTGCACAATTAATACAACTTCATTAGAAAGACAAAATTAAATCATGCTTTTATAGGATGGATATATATATATATATACTTGTAACATACACACACACATACATATATACACACATACATACATACACACACACACACACACAGAGTTAAATCATGTATTCTATCTCTTGTAGCATTAGCAATAGACTTTGCTGGGTGATTTATTCTGTTATTTAATTTGTAACAGTCTTTCATATCCATTATGGCAACAGTCACACACTCAGCATAAGAACTATGATGAGACTGCTGAAGAAAAAAATGCCTCCCACGAGATCTGACCATAGACTCTATGATCATGTTCTAGCTACATGTCCTAAACACGGCAGCTAATGACATATAGTCACCATAAATCACCACTGGAATTACCTAAGTTAATAATCACAGCATATTTAACATCTTAGAGTTTAAAGGAGATAATAAAGACAATCTATCTTATACACACAAAAAAGTATACTATTAACACAGCGGGAAAAATGTCTTCTCAGCAAGAAAAGAACACAAGAAACACTTGTATTGTCCCTAAACAGATTAGTTATTGAAGACAATATTAAGAAAAATATTTATTTTTAATTTCTCTCAAAGAAAAGAGTTACCTAATATTTACATTTAAATGCTAGAGATATCACACTGGACATTCATAACACTAAAATAGATACTTATTAAACAGCAGTTTGGAAAATAATTTGTTATGTGCTCATATACTTTTAGATTAATTAGCCATCCCATCAATGATATAATATTAATAGTGTAGTTTTTCCACATTTTATTGTTAAGAAAAAAATGGAGGCTAAAGCAGTGTAAATATTTTGCCGCATGTTAAAATCTAGGAAGAGGAGAAGCAAGTCATTGAGGGCAGTCTATTTCCTAGCATATAGAAAAATTTTAATTAATGCACAGATGATGCTGCCTTCCAGATAATTAAAATTTCTAGAGAATACTGCGAGGAAAGATCAATATTGTTGACAGTCACCGTGAAAAGAAACTAAAATATAAAATGTGCTAAGAAAACATGTCAGTGAACATCAACTCTTAGAATTCCAACAGCACCCTTTGTACCGTTCCTTAGGACTCACCCGAATTATAATGCTACAGTCAGGTTCCTTCCTTTCTACGTATACTTCAATTAACAAGTCTCCAGCCTGGGACACCTAGAAAGGACAGGTGTGAAGACAGCACATGTAAGCATGTCACAGAATCAACAGACACAGCACCTAAGAGAGCTATGACATGCTGCTTGTCACACTTCTCAAAAATGCACGACAATGAAATTACCTCAGTTCCCCTGCTAGTACTAGATATGTACTTCAAACTGTGTGTTGATTCCAGACAAGTGTCTAAAGGTTAGACTAAACAAGTGGCACAGATAGAAAAAACATTCACACTCTGCTTTTTTTTTTTTTTTTTTTTTTTTTTTTTTAAATGTCACGGTCAAGGCCTTGGTAGCTTCAAATAATGAAGCAATGACGACAACACGCGTTAAGGAGCCACAGAGTATGTAAAGCTCTTAACCCGCGTGGACATAATCTTACAAGACGAAAACAAGCCTTGGTAAATTTTCATGCAGCTGACACATGCAAACACTGAAATGAGGAGGGACATGACCTCAAAGCTGAACTAAAATTATAAACAGGGAGAGTGCTTTAGCCAGAAAAGTGAGAGGAAGATAACAGAATGAGGTAGGAAAGAGCAAGATAGGCTTCAGGTTTTAATATCCTCGCTGAAGCATTTAAGAGTGCTTGTCTGGGTCATTAACGCCCAAACAGAGAAAAAGTGAAAAGTCACAAGGAGAAAGGAAAATGACAGACAGCACAGTGTAGCCTAACAGAGTCAAACAGAGGACAAAGAATCAAAACAAGATATAAAAATATAATTGGTATAGATTTTTTTTCCAGAAGTCCCCTGCATAACCACTGAAAACATCTATCACCCAACAATCTAAAGACATTCTGAGATGCAATCATTCTGATGTTAAATTTTCCTTAGCATAAAAGTCTGAAATCTAATGAATAAGAAAAATTAAAATGTACAGAGGGGGAGAGATTAAAGTATACGTTGAGGAGCTACTCCTATTTATTTTGTCAATGTATGCATAGAACAACTTATTTCCAATTTTTCTTTCTCAGTTTCAATTCTACAAATGGTCTCTAAGGAGAAAGCTGACATTTTTTTTGCTTTTCACTCTTTGTATAAACATCACAGCAAGAAGAAAACATTTTAAAAGTTAAAAAGGCAAACACACAAAACAATTAGAGTGGACCAACAAGTAGCTCAGTAGTTAACTAATTAAGTAGCTGATAATTAGAAAGGACAAAGACAGAAACACTAACTCCAAAACAAGGCTTTAAACAGATTGAAGCAATACTCAGGTCAGGAAGCAATAACCATTTTCCACGTTATTCTTATTGTCTTTCTCAATTAATTGATTTCATCTATAACTGTTTTATTTATGGCAAATCCAAGGTGTCCAAGACTTTTTTCTTTGTTGAAAAATGCAAGCAGATACTCCAGCAACAACAACATAGATTAGATGGCCAAAGGCTTCCTTCCTTCCTCACCTAGTATGAATTATAAGCACTGACAACAAGCCAGATTATTTTTAGTTTAGTGTTACAGCTAATTCCTCTGGAAGTTGCATTAATTACTTTCAGTCAAAATGGAGGGAATCATTTGTTAAGTAATTAATATCGTAGTTTAGTTCAAGAGGAACCTAAACATGTGCTTATCTGCTTCGTGTAACATGATAGCTACAATGATTCCTTTAATTAGAAGCAGACGTCTCAGTACTGAAAGCAAACTTTGGGTCTGACTAATAGCGGGAATTTTCCTTATTATCTGTGTGCAATTATGAACAGAGCATATTTGACCCATTCCCATTATTTACAGTGAAACCCTGAATCCATTATCATTCCTAGTTACCAGAAGATGATTAATGATCAACCCTAAGACGTTCCAGTGAATTCATCAAAGAAGGTAAGGTGCTCTGGAAAAAAGCATGGCGCCTCCTGAACACATAAATCCAGTGTAATACGACTAGGAAAGCAAGATAGGATTCAGAAAGGCAGACTTAAGACGTAAGTTAGTATGCGTTGCACAGGTCACCTTAGAAATAGACTCATTAGTGCAATCATCTGATAGCGTGCAGAGCAGAAGCATGTAAGAAATCATTTACATTTCCATAATCATAAGGGAGAAAAATCATTATTGCTGTGGGATTTTGCAATTTAGCCTAGTATTTCTTTGGCTTTAAATGCTTCCTTTGCAATCCACTGGCATAGCCAATAGTGTTTTGTTTTTAGTAAATGCCAACCACTGCCTCCTTAATATTTATGTTATGTCAGTACGTTCCACACAGTATGCGTCATGATTCAGGGTTGCCCCAGTCTTCCCCCAGTCTCTCTTACTTTCCTCTGAATAGGAACGTGAACAAACACACACAAAAAAATGTTATTTACAAACGTTTTGTTTTTAAATCTTTAGAGACTAGCTCTTACTACTCACTTGAGTGTCTTTCCACTTGGTTATAAAGCTATTCTCTATGTCCATTTGTTTGACTTGGTCTTCTTTAACCTGTTCAAAATACAATTTGGGATATTCCAGTAATGCAGAGTACACAGAGCGAGGGTGATCTTTCTCACCTAGCTCCTCAAGAATTTACATAACAACAAATTGCAAAGAGACCAGGATGGCCATCATTATAGTCATCTTGATCACAGGAGCCCCACAATTTGGGCAGCATGAAGCCAACTGAACAGAGTCTCATAGGGCTCAGAACACTCTTTGACAATGTCCTGTCAAACTGCAGAGTTTACTCATGGAAAACCATAGGGATTTACAAGCACAGGTTCCCATGGGCGGTCTCTGAAAGTGCTTGCAGGCGAGAAACGAGACTCATCACTCAAACATAAATATTCCTTAATGGAATATTAAAGTTTTGGTAAACACTTCAGTTCAATAACACTATGAACATGAACATTTAGCTTTATTAACACAGTAAAGAGAGCATGTAAAGCCACATTTATTTTTGTGTATCTCAGCATCAGATCATTTCAAAGAAGCTGCTGTTGATCAAAACAAATGAAAACTCTAGATAAACAGTAGGAAACGAGAAAGAGACCAAAGCACAGCGAAAAGGCAATTCTGGTACAAACACTCCTAGAAATTAAAGTACAGACCGTTATATTAGAAAAATCATTCATTTTCCTATGATAAGCAATACTGTCCCACTCCTTGGCTTATACCCAAAGGACACTTCATCCAACCACAATAACGTCTACACAACTATGGTCATAGCGGCTTTATTCGTAATAGCCAGGAACTGGAAACAACCTAAGCGTCCCTCAACTGAAGACTGGATAAAGGAAATGTGTACATATACCCCACGGAGTATTACTCAACTGTTAAAACAACAGGCAAATGGACGGAATACAAACATGGCATTATCTCACTTAAAAGTGGATATTAGCTGTAAAGTATAGTCATGCTACAATCCACACTCCCAGAGAGGCTAAGTAACATGGACGGTTCAGGGGAGGGAGAAATGCATGAATCTCCCTGGGAAGGGGAAATAGAGTAGATTTAGTGGGTAGATTGGGGGCAGATAGCGATAGGAATAGAAGATCAGGTGTCAGGGGAGAAAGAGAAGGAGAGACAATGGAATTAGGGGGTACTGGGGTGGAGGTGCAAAGTAGAAACCTAGTACAATGGAAACTCCCTGGAATCCATGAGTGTGGCCACAGAGAAGCTGGCTGGTAATGGGTGATATGGAGCCTGAACAGACAAGGGTTCCAGCAGAGGGTCTGCGACACCAACCTAGCTACAAAACCTTCAACCTACAATTTGCCCTGCCTGCAGGATGTGCTAGGGTAAAGATGGTGCAGAAATTGTTGGGAGTGGCCAGCTACCAACCTGTTCAACTTGAGAACCATGCCTGACATTGCCTGGAGGGCCATAAATCAGAGGCTGGATAGCCCAGAGACCTAAGATAGACCCAAAAGACTACTAGTGGGTTTAAAAAAAAAAAAAAAAAAAAAAAGGAAAAAAAGTCAATGAAATTTTTCTTAATGATGTTCTGCTCTACTCGTAGATCAGATTCTAGCATAATCATCAACAGAGAGGTTTCATTCAGCAACTGATGAGGCAGATGTCAGAGGTGTCAAAGACACCAGAATATGGCCCACAGAATCAATTAACCAGGGTTCATAGGGGCTCACAGAGACTGGGGAGATAATCACAGAGCCTATATGGGTCTGACCTAGGTTCTCTGAGTGTATGTTATGGTTGTGTTGCTTGTTGTTCTCATGGGAACCCCAACAGTGGGGATGGGGGGGTCTTTTGCCTCCATTTGGGATCCTTTCCCTCCTACTGTGTTGCAAGTACCTAGTCTTACTGTTATACCTACCATGTTTGGTTGATATGAAGGGGAGACCTGTTCTTCTCTGAAGAGAAATGGAGGAGGGGTAGATCTGGACAAGAGGAGGGGCTGGGAGGGAAGGCGGGAGATGAAACTGTGGTCTGGATGTAGTATGTGAGAAAAAGGATAAATAAGCTAATTAAAAAAAAACAATAGCAAAAATACATAATCCTCAAGGTGATTAAAAGGCCCCACCAACTCATCTTGTTTCATCTGGCACATCTTTACCCACAGAACACAATAGAGCATCACTTGAGCGAGCTCTGAAGCACTCTAGACCAAAGAGGGGTTGGGGGAGTTATTTACACAATGGAAGGGACTATAACCCAGAATTAGCAAGGCCTGGCCTTATGTCCTATAGTCTATCTTCCTTCAACAATGAAACCATTCCTATTCTCATAGTTTACTAAAAATAAATAAATAAATAAATAAATAAATAAACAAACTAACTCATTTCAGAGAACTGCAAACTGAAATAAATACTAGTGAGGAGTCAGTAAAAGCCATAAGGTAATTCTTCAGAATGTTCTTCCAATTGAAGCAGAGTTTAAAAAAAAAAAAAAAAAAAACTCAGAGTAGTTTCAATAGCAGCAGCATTTAACAGTCTTTTGCTGATCACTAAATTTGTTAAACTCATAACTTCACACCTCTCAGTAGACATGCTTAATGCATATACACAGTGAAGAGAAAACACACAACACACACACTCACACACAAGCCCTGTAAATAGTATGCTGTCCAACAGACAACAGATGGTGAAAATATTTAAAAGCTGCTACATTTAAATAAATGGTTTCTGCTTTAAAATCCAGTTATATCCAAAACCTTAAAACCAAACTACCCTTCGTGGTCTCTATTTTTAAATAGTCGCAAGGACCCAAATAACATCCTGAAATAGGCACCACGTTCTACAAGCTGTGGGGCCTAATCCATTGGAAAGGGGAGAAGAAGAAGAATTCTTACCTCAAATATTTCAACATAATTATTAATTAGATCTTCAATGACACTGACTTCTTCACTAGTTTGCCCCTTAGTTTGAAATAAGCAGGATGAAAAGACCAATGCCAAGTTATGAGCATGCATGTGATTGATTTCCGAGCATTTCTGAACCCTGTTATGGGAAAAAATATCTCATTATGGCACATTTGTCTTCACGAATTTCACTGAAATATAAGCTAAAATCCCATTATCATTTAGCATTCCTAAACACACACACACACACACACACACACACACACACACACACACACACACTATGAAGCTCTTCAAAATAAAAGGTTCAGTAAGCATTTACAGACATAGTCTAGCTAAGAACAGAAGCAAATCTACTATTGAAAGGAGGAACAGTATGTGGTACTCTGAGACTGACTACACACAAACAGATGCGACCAATGGACAACCCCATCCCAGAACACAAAAATGCGTGTAAGTCCTGGTTTGAAATAATGTACACAGCTGCATCATAAGTAAAAGAGGGGGAAGGTAGGGGAAGAAGTCAAGATAACACAGGTCCTCCAGGAACTTCCTGGACTTGTGATGAGGAATTTCGGTTCACGGGCAGAGACTACATCTTCCACCAAGTGTACCATCATTTAGGTGCATAAACTCTTTAGCTTCTCATCAGAGCCAAAGAAACTGTTAATTGGTATTTATCATTAACCAGTGAATCCCATCAGATGGGCTGCTAGGCTAAACCAGACTTTATAAAACAACTGCTCTCCCTTTAACAGAATGAAACCTAAATGCTTCTTTATGACAAGTCCCTTCACAGGAAGTGTTCATCTAGTTATTTAAAACAGACTACCATTACATCTCGAAAGGCAAATGCACAATTTAAAAATGCAGCCATCCTCATTTTAGAAACTACTAAGAATGGCTTTACTTAATTATTTATTAATGTGTTTTGTTTTATTGTATGGGTGTTTGCCTACATGTATGTATGGGCACCATGCATGTCTGTACCTGGTACCCACACAGAGCAGAAGAGGCACTGAATCTCCAGGAGCCAGAGTTAGATTCTTTTTGAGCTGCCACAGTGTGTTGAAAATGGAATCTGAGCCCCTCAATGTTCAGTAAGTGATCTTAATTACTGAACTATCTCTTCATCCCCCCCATGCCTTTCCAAATAAACAGATATTAACAAGTAAATTGATTCCTCTAACAAACTTTGGGTATTGTAAAGGGCACTTTAGACATTCACCTGTGTCGGTTAAAAGTGTGTCACAACAGCAGTCACCTCCACAAGGAGGACTTACCAGGATAAAGATGTCAAGGAGAAATACAAATGCCTGTTCATGATCTCTATTGAGTTTTTACAAAACGAATATAGAGCACCTACATGATGCTTGACTTAAGTACATTGGAAACATCACACACACACACACACACACACACACACACACGTGTACTATGAGCATGCTCACATGCAAATGCACCATGAGAGAACAAACTATTCCTGACTCAGAGAGAGGTGGTCCTGTGTATATAGAATATAGACTCTAGTAGATGCATGCAAAAAGAAAACGAAAGAAGAAGCGAACATAGTAGTAACATATATAATAATGTCAGAAGTCCACAATGAAATGCAAAACTGCATAGCAGAGATTGGATAAAGAAATGGCATTCATCATAGGTGATTCACAAGATGGAAAAGGAACTAGGGAATTTAATAAGGGAAGAGATAACAACTGCAAGCAGTCCCCCTCCAAGCCACTTCTGCACTTTTATCACCCGAGACTGTAAACATCTACAAAACTTATCTCTGTGTCCGTCTCTATTCCTAGACTCTCAGACTCTCACAAAGGGGCTTGCTTTAATCATTCTGTAGTGTGTAGTGAATGCATGGTGAGTGGAATTAAGTGGCTGCTGCTGATGGCAGAAGCGAGTTGTTATCCAGGGCAGGTATTGAATTAGAAGCTCTATCATTCTGACTGCATCCAAGGTGACTCCTCACACTTTTGATGGCATTACCCAATTCCTGAATTTCTTGAGCCATCTTCAGCAGCACCATCCCTCTGTGGACCTCTTTAGCTGTCGGTACACTTAGTTTCTCTGAATACCTTAATTTCTGGAATAAGCTGCGTACACCACAGACTGTTTTACTTCTTGGTATTGAGATGTTGTTCCCCAGTATTTCGTAACTTATGCAATTGTTCTGGTCACCTAGAACTCCTATGTCTCAGAAGACACATTCTACCCATGCATTGGGTTTCTCTTCAGAAGAGCTTGCAAGCTTTTTTAGACAGTGTCTGTGGCGCTCGGGATGTTCCTGAACTACTGGGCTCAAGCAAGCAATTCTTCCCTACAAGCTTTCTAGTGGCTGCGACCCCTCTGTTTTATATACAGCTCCTATGTCCCTTTAGCACTGAAGAACTGTCCGAACTACAGACTTTTTTAGACTCTGACACATATCGACTCCTCCATTTTCTCTTTCTTACTTCTAAAATCATATATTAAAGTTTGTCCTAGCATCTCACATCGTTATCCCTATGATACGATATGAATGTATGTTTTATAGGCTTTGCCTGTAGCTCACTATGGAATCACACTTAACATTCACAATCCCAGCAAATGAAAAACAAAACTGGGAGCTAAACAAAAAACACTAAAAATCATATTTATTGTAGCAGTGTTTACATGTTACAAGAGAATATCCGGCTGGTGTAGATAAAACATCATGCAATATTTCTAAACCTCATGTGCAACCCTTTCATTTAAAAAAAACAAAAGCTATGTCACAAGTTTATAAAACTCACGAAGGAAAACACTTGTATTCTCAGAGATCTCCCTACTACAGAACACTAGCCCTTCAGTATGCAGTCACCCAGCCTCTCCTCTGTATCACATTATCAAGTTCTGCATTCAAACATTTGTGCCCATGTGGTATTATCAGAAACAGGTCTGTAAAATATATGCTATGTTGACAGGGTGTCATAAGAAAACCAATTTCTCCTCCAATTTCATACCCAAAAGAGCTTTTAAAATGCCTTGCTTATTAACACCATGCAGTAGGTGTTGTATACAAACATACTCTTATCTAAGAACATCTCCAACATCCTCAACTATAAATACAACTTTATATCCCAAAAGCATAGGGTAAAGTAACAGATTGTAAGATTTGTGAGTCTTCACAAAGGACATGGAAGTCCAGCTACACAACTTTAAGTGTCAAAGGCAATGACATTAAGGCAGAGGCCATGCTTTAAAATGCTGAGACATTGCAAGAATCCACCTACCTGTAAAGGTGTTCAATTATAGCTGCCAGAGTCGCTCTGTTGACCCCCGGAAGAGTGCGGATGAATGCTCTGTATTTCTCAGTTCTTTCCTTTTCATCTTGTGTATCTAGGGAGAAAATTCTTTGCATTTAAACTAGTCATTTATATTGTATATACGTCTCTCAATATTATTTTTAAATAATAGTTATAAGCATATAAATGATACAATAAGGTTTCATGAGAAAACATGCAAATATTTAACACAATTGCGTGTAATTCTAAAAAGCAACAATTTAAATACAATCATACATTATAGTTCTTATAATCTGTAACTCAGAATTAAGCACATTCAAAATGGAAGGGCAACAGGATATTTTTCCCTTTTATATAGCCTACTTTATGTACTTTTACACCTTAACAGGAATACAGTCAAGAAATTATTCAAATCTTAGTACACACTGAAAAACTAAGCCAAAGGTATATTATATCTGGCTATAGTGGGACTTCATCAATTACATTTGAAAATGATATTTCTGAACCCTTTTACTTACAAAATCCTAAAAATCTATCCAAAGCTATGAGACATCCCAGAACTATGAACTGTACTGTTTGTGTGATCTACGTAAGGGGCCTGTTACCAGCCAGGCTGCATTCAAATCTCAGATAAAGGAAAAGGACACCGTGGAAGAGGTGATGAACAAGTCTTAATACCATAATTCAGATTCAGAAGATAATGGGCATCGAACCTTTGTCAGGAAAAGAAATTAATTGGACCATCACAAGACAAATGAGAAAGGATTGTTCTCTCTCCTTTAAACTCCAGAAGACAAATCTCTAGACCCGGGACTCTGGTAACTGAGACCCAGGAACTTCCCACATTGTAGAATTCTGATGGATTATATTGTCAGTTCATCTGAACTATTAGCTGACATGGGAAGTACCAACCACTCTTCAGAGCAACAATTTTTGCTGACTTTTCAATTACTTTCTGGTCCCATCCCCACTGACATTTGGAAGCAAGGGATTTCCATTTCCTGCTTAGCCCTACCTACCTAGCTAGGTATTGTTCAAGAAAAGCCAGGGACATCCCAAAGATTCTTTAAATGTACACAGTTGACAAGTTCTGTAAGATTCCCCCAGAGATGCAGGAACTGTGACACACTTTCCAAGAGCATTCCTATTCAAAATCGCAAGTGCTCGTTTAAGCCACAATGCGCCCTATAAAAGGAACTGTGGTACCCAGTGACGACTCCAGAAAAGGAGGAAGGGAAAATATCCAAGTCACCCAATAAGTTAAGAATTGTCTGTTATTACAAGATAATGCAAATATTTCTCCCGTCCATGTCATCTAGTTAATGGTTTTAGAAGCAATCTCATGTATTCAGTAAAATCTAATTAACACTGTAACACTTAGATCAAGCACTAATTCTAGTAGAACGCTTTTCATGTACTTTATAAAAAAAGTAAAAAGATATTTTTTTCAAAATAAAGCAATTAGAAAGAAATATTCAGTTAAGATTTCAGGTCATATGGAAAATATGATGAGTGGACAGTGGAGATGTCTGGGTGGGTAGGATACCTGTTGTACAAGCATGAAACCCTGAATTTAGATTCTCAGCACTCATGTAAAATAGCAGACACCGCAGTGTATGACTATAATTCCAGCACAGGCAGACAGAGATAACGATATCTTGGGCTCTCTAGGTAGTCAACACAGTCGATCAGAAAGCTTCAAGTTCACTGAGAGACAATTTCCCAACAACAGTTAGGTGAAAAATGACTGGGAAAGTAATAAGATACCAATGTTTGGTGTGTACACGCCCACACACCTGTGCGTAAGCATGCATGCATACATCACACATACATAAAACCATGCACATGTACACACAGGGAAAGGTATACAATGAGGAATTTAGTTGAGAATTGAGATGATTTACCAAATTATGCACACATGCACACACAAAAAAAAAAAAACCATAAAAAATACAGAGCCCATTCTCCATTGGCCATCTACTCCTGAGAACGCAACATGCCCTGGGACTTGTTGACATGGGGAGTGGCACTATATTGGAGAAAGTTGGTTTCCCCTTTCCCTTTCCTAAAAGGTATCAATTAGAAACCATTCCTGGTTAGGGGTGAGGCATTACATGCACTATCCTACTTCAGTGCCAGAAATTGTCTGGTTTGAACCAGTTCAAGGCATATGCATGTTCTCACAGTGCACAGTCTCTGTGCATTCTCTGTGTATCAGCTCTGTTGTTGATTTTACTGAGATAGAGAAAGACCCAAAGGAGAATACATGAGCTTGAGTGGACAAGGAGGTAGAAAGAATCTGGGAGGAATCCAGAGATGGAAAAGAATATGATCAAAATACAGTATGTAAATCATTCAATTATCGACACCATAGTAGGAAAATCTTGGGATTGTAATTCATGTGGAGTACCTATTGACTACGAACACATGGATGAGAGTGTTTGGGGCAGAGTTTCCAGCTCCTGTACACCATGTGGCAACATAATATTATGGAAACTTCAGATGATCCTTATACTGACATCAAGGTAGAATGCACATCAAAAAAGTGATTAAAACTACAATTTTGTGTCACAGTCTCCACTATAATGAACATGCAAAATATTTTAATTTAACAATATGGGGAAGTATCTTGTATCCCATTAGTAAACAAAAAACCAAGAAAAATTTAATAACTGATTATAAAGGATAATTCAGATATTTTAATAGTGTTCTTAGAACATCTATGCATTTTACAAATAATTAATATGCTACTATAAGAATTATTTATGTTTTCCTGTTGCTTGTTTGTTTGTTTCTCCAGATAGATTTTCTCTGTGTAGTCCCAGCAGTCCCGGAACTCTCTTTGTAGGTTGGCCTCTAACTCATAGAGATTCACATCCCTCTGCCTATAGAGTATTGGGATCAAAGGCGTGTGCCACCAGGCCCAGCTTACTATAAGAATTCTTAGCTTCAATTGAGCCAGACACTGTTAAGGTCATGCAAAGTCATGGTTTAAGGTGAGATCCAACAGTATGCATTCAGAAATAGCTGGGAGAGGCATATTGTGTCTAAAAGCAAATGACCTACAGGTTTTTCAAAGATATCTCTAAGAGGCTTCTGAAATATTCATCCCCAAGTCAAAAATGCAAAGTGTACTCTCTGAAAACGGCCTGACTCTGGCTAAACACTGCTTCTGGGTTAACTGACAGCGGTAAAGACTTCCGTTTCACTAGACGATTTTAGCAAAAAGTTAATGGCTGTCTGTTTTTGATGAATAATTTTACATGAAGGCAAATTTTATTTATTCATAAATTATATATACATATACAAATATATTTTATAATTTCACAGTTATTTATACTAACGGTATCTTTAAAAATGTGTATCCAAAGACTATTTGCGCTGGAGAGGATGTGGAGAAAGATCTACTCTCCTCCACTACTGATGGGAGTGCAAACTCCTACAGCCACTTTGGAAATCAGTATGGCAGTTCCTCAGGAATATGGGAATGGGAATCAGTCTACCTCAAGATCCAGTAAATCCACTCTTAGGCATATACCCAAAAGATGCACATTCATACAACAAGGACATATGTTCAACCATAAGCAACCTAAATGTCCCTCAACTGAAGAATGGATAGAGAAAAGATGTCCATTTACACAGTGCAATACTACTCAGCAGAAAAACGCAATGGGATCCTGAAATTCACAGGGAAATGGATGGAATTAGAAGAAACCATCCTGAGAGAGGTAAGCCAGTCATAAAAAGACAAACATGGTATGTTGTCACTCACATATGGTTTTTAGACATACAGCAAAGGATTACCAGCCTTCAATCCACACCGCCAGAAAAGCAAATAAGAAGGGCCCTAAGAGAGATAGATATGGTTCCCTGGAGAAGTGGAAAGGGACAAGATCTCCCAAGCAAATTCAGAGCATGTGGAGGGGGGAGGAAATTAGGAGAAAGAGGAAGGGAGAGGTCGGCATGAAGGAGCAGAAAGATTGAGTCAGGGAAAGAATAGAGGAGAACAAGAAAAGAAGTATCATAATAGAGGGAGCCATTATAGGATTTAAGAGAAATCTTGCACTAGGGAAATGTCCAGAGATCTACAAGGATGACTCCAACAAACAATCTAAGCAATAGTGAAGTGGCTACCTTAAATGCCCTTCCCTGATAATGAGAAATGATGACTACCTTATATGCCAACCTAGAGCCTTCGTCTAGTAACTGATGGAAGCAGAAGCAGACACCCACAGCTAAGCACTGAGCACAACTCCTGGAATCCAGTTGCAGAGAGGGAGGAGTGATGAGCAAAGGGGTCAAGACCAGGCTGGGGAAACCCACAGAAACAGCTGACCTAAACAAGGGGGAGCTCATGGACTCCAGTCTGATAGCTGGGAAACCAGCATAGGACCAACCCAGATTCCCTGAATGTGGTGTAAGTTGGCAGTCTATGGGGCCTCTGGTAATGGATCAGTGTTTATCCCTAGTATACGAATGGACTTTGGGAGTCCATTCCAGCCTAGAAACATGGGGGAGGGTCTGGGTCCTACGTCAAATGACTTTGAAGATTCCTCATGGAAGGCCTCACCCTCCCTGGGGAGCAGCAAGGGGATAGGATGGGGTTAGTGGGCGGGGGGGGAGACAGGGATGGACAGGAGGATTCAGAAACTGGGATTGACATGTAAAACAAGCTTTTTTTCAAATTTAAATAAAAAAATTAAAAAGTGAGTATCAAAGGGAAACAGGCCTTATGGAGACATAGTAAGTAACTACATAGTTTCCATCTCAGGAAATTATGCTTTCATCTCTACCTGGGATTATACTTAACCCTCTCAATTAGAAAGGCACATGGAAGCAAATCAAAAACCACTTTCTGAATTAGGTAGTTAAACTACAAAACACTACATTTTTAGTGATAATTCTAGTCTTGTCTCACTAATATTACTAAGGGCTATTCTGGAAAATTTAAAAACTGCCATTATTTTGTGATATGATTTCAAAATAAACCCCTTCAAAAGTATTAGTTGCTTAAGGTTGAACAATATAGCAAAATTCAAGAGCCATTTTCAATTTTTTTCAAAATAGATTGTATATATAGGAAATATCTGTGTTATTATAGCATATAAAAAACTAAAAGTTAAAAACTGAAACCATAAAGATGAAAAATAGGCATTTCGAAAACACATTAGACACATGAGAAATGTTAGTGGATTGCTAAAAAACACATGCATTGCTTACAAGTGTGGAATACAAACGATAAAACAGAAAAAGTAAAAAATATTAAAATGATTACAATGTTCTTACTGAACGGCTTCAACAAAGGAGCTAGTTTTCATTAATGTTTCCTTGTTTTCATTGGGTTTTTCAAGACAGGATTTCTCTGTGTATTCCTGGCTGTGCTGGAACTCAACTCTGTAGACCAGGCTGTGCTCAAGCTCATAGAGTTTCACCTGCCTTTGCTTCACAAGTAATGGGAATTAAAGGTGTGTGACACCACCGCCCAGCTTTTAGCTTTAATTAATGCACGTAAAATAATTTTTAGTAGAAGTAACATGACCTAATGAAGAATTTAATTAACCACTGGTCTATTAATACATTCATTCCCTAAGATTCCACGTGGTGTAACGTTACCTTTTTATGTGGATTCTCTAGAAAATGAATAAAAATTCCATCAGTTATATTAATAAGAGGTAGAGTAAATGACAAGAGAAACAAATGCTATTCAGTAATTTTCAGATGATTAGAGACTTAAAAGAAAACCCTGAGCATTAAATTAGAAGGCAGGCAGGATGTCCTGACCCGACATTATTACCTAATGTGGAGACCCAGTATGGATAGAGCTCCTTCGTGAGAAGAGCATCATCGATGTCAGACAGGAAACTCTTCAGCACGCTCGTCACATCTTCAAGTTGATGCTTTCCGGCTCGCAACTTAACACTCCTCGCATCCTTTTTAAAACTCTCCAGGAGTTCACTTACGTGTGAAGGATCACCGTTCTTTTGATAAATGTGTTTACAACCTAACCCTGTGATACAAATGTAGAAAGTTATATGAGAACTATCTGTGGCCTTTCTGTTTTGATAGCTCAGGAACAGAACAGATTCTTCCATGGAGATCATGAACAAAATAAGTCATCAGGCATGAGGTTGAAGACCTTGCACGCCCTCAATTTTAAATTCAAACTTGGTGAATAGACCACCCAGTCCTCAGCTTCAGCTAACCTCACTCACGTCTCCCTCTGGCTCTCCATATTATCCCTTTCAAAGGTATTTTCTATCTCAAGGCGGATTTCCCCATGTTCTCAGAAAACAAGCTTGCCTGCATTTGGACAGAATAGTATAAAACTTGGGTACATAGTTCCTAATGTTCTCAACACATATTTGTTTATTGTTTTTGCAGTTTCTACCTATACCACTGTCCAATGTTTCCAACTCACTGTCTCATCGGGCACCCCATAAAAGACAAAGTAGTGATTAGTGGCAGGACGGGGGGAAAACCGATGGTGGTGGTGATACAAACACACAAATCCTTTGGTTCCTCCCTAAATCTTTCTCTTTATGAAACCTAGCTAAATTCATGGTCTTTTTTCTACGTGCTCATATTCTTGTACAATCTCCCCAGGCAAGCTCCTGGGTTTGGAGTACTGTCATTAAGCATATCAGTGGTATTATCTAGATGTTCTTCAGTTCTAGATAATGACAGCAACTTACAGCATGTGACAAGCCCTCAGAACCCGCTGCCAACATTCTGTTACAATTATGACTTTTTATGGTATCACATCCATTTTTCTCTCCTTCCAGGGCAATTTTTCCTCAGTGTTCTATTTATTTTGCGCTTTCAGGCTCAATTCTATTCTCTTCTTGCCACATTGGAAAATTGTCTGGTTGGACCTTCCATCCTTATCAACCCATATATAGTATACCTGTTTTTACCTGGATTTCAACTCTTAAAAATTTCATTACACACGCACACACACACACACACACACACACACACACACCACAGTACACCATCATATATATACACAGACAGACACATACACCAGTAATAACCTTACAGGAAATCATAAAAACCTAAAGGAATTGATTTTCTGCTCCATTCATCAGCTTCCCTTCCAATTATATTTTTTAAATTTAGCTCCCTAATATCAATAGATGGCTTTACTTTTTCCTTACCTTAACCCAAGTCAGAATCTTTGTAACTCACTTCATTAAAAATATGTCAATATTCATTCTTCTTTATGTTCACATGCTATTATCTATGTCGTAGGTTCGTCATTACATTATATAGCACCCTGGCCACTGCTCTTAAGCAGGTCCAATTTGTCTGTTAGTATATGGTGAGAAGGCTAACAACCTGGGTGCAATCTTCCTAATGCCTGTAGAGAAAACTTAAACAATTTTATAAGGATGCATTACAAACCTATATAAACAATTTTATAAGGATGCATTACAAATCTACCAGAGCTGGTCTAACTTCGTGCCATTTGTATGCGTCCTTTCTTTGCATACTGAACTACACGTACATTTTCTTAAACAGGCAAACATAAAAGCTATCTATTACACCCTCTACTCTGGAGGGAACTTCCACGCATGCTGTAAAACAATGAAGCCTCTCTACCACAGAATCTTATACCCCAAGATGTAATTGTCTGCCCATGTGCTGAACCATCAATCTATGAGCCCCTAGAAGCCAAGAACTAAGTCTTGATTTCTTTTTATAACTGGCAGGAATGGGACATGGGAAAACTCAAAAGGCACTTAGCGACTAACTACTTACTGCAAAAGTAAATAAATTCAACAAAGTAATTTCAGCTATGTGCCTCGGAGAAAACATTCCATGCTGAGGGCATTTCTAATACCCAGGAATTGAACAACTTCTGCAGATTCTTGCTCCAAGCTCGCGAACCTTGAATTTGACCCCCAAGGACCCACAGGCAGAAGAGAACTGAGTCCGGCAAATTGTCCTCCTCTGACTTATACACACACGCTGTGGCACACACACACACACACACACACTCACACAAATGCACACACACACACACACATATACACACATACACATCAATGTTTAAAAGTACTAAATATCATTTTATATAAATTGAAATAACTTCCTCTAAGAATTAATTATACTTGATTTAAAGATTAAATCCATAATACAGTTTGAACTTGGTAAAATTCAAAACATTACCTTGAAGAGCACAGAAAATTATCCTTTACATTTTAATCCACCACAGGCTCAGACATTCAAAATAATTGCTACTGTAGAGACTCTGAGGCAAACTTTTGCATCCTGTGAGTGGTGTGCAATACCCTAGGTCCTATCAAATCTTTATGCTAGTGCATAGAACATAAAGGTTTTTATCTTACATTCAACTAAATGTAAACAATCATTTATTGGCTTTATTATACTAATACACTTTGTGTTAGTTATAAAGCTCTTAAAACATAACAGATATAGTTGAAATAATCTAGTGCTTAATTATTTTAAATTCAAATAAACACCACAGGGAAACTTTCAGTTGGTTATACTGGATCTACCTGTGTTATTGTAATCATTTGTCAGCTTAAAAAGATTCTATGCCACTATGAAACCAACTCGATGTGAAAGTTCCCTATGAGCTTATACCCTTGCTAACATAGTATGTGTCCCTCAAATCCCTGTGAAATGTAGCCAAGCTAACATGAATGAGCACAGTACACAAAGACAACCATTTCTAGTTCTCAAATACAGAGGACTACAACACTATGGTAGCAAAAGGGAAAAAAATCCCCATAGTAAGGCCCACACATATGATGATGTGAATAGCCTTGGTATAACTACAACACAAATAAAATGAATATGGAAAATTAAAAAACATACTTGGATTACATTTGAAAATACTTATGATGATACTCTTGCCAAAAGAGCTTATTATAAATAAGTTGCAAATAAATATAAAACATGTTAAATTTATCTCCCGAAAGCAACTTTGTATCAGAGTGCTTATTTCTTATATATTGTTATCTATCATGTCATCAACTTCATATACAGAAGATGGGATCCAAGGGGAAACTACTCACTCTGGCTGCATGCTTCTTAATAACATAATATCTTCCTATGTTTTCCTCACGATTTAAGTCTCCTTTTAGAGTTAAAATACACTAAAAACCTATAATGTTAAAAGACTAGGAAGCTAATACAACTTTAGAAATATTATCATTTTATTCTTTTGTACTTTCTTTTTTGCATAAGGACATTTATCCATCTATGAAATGGTGAAAAACACATTATGCACAAAATGCATGTCAACGAGCATATGATCAGTAAAGTACTAGTCTGGCTTGCACAAGGCCCTGAGTTTGAACCAAGAGAGACATAAATGAATGAATGAATAAATACTTTCTATCTTTCAGACAAATGAATGATGTATGTATGCATCATTTGTGCATCAATACTAATTTGAAAATAAATGTGAAGATAAAGATTATTTTCTAGGTAAACCCTGAAAACCTGCCCTGCTGCACGAAATTAAAATGAGGCAGAGAGAGACATAAATGAATGAATGAATAAATACTTTCTATCTTTCAGACAAATGAATGATGTATGTATGCATCATTTGTGCATCAATACTAATTTGAAAATAAATGTGAAGATAAAGATTATTTTCTAGGTAAACCCTGAAAACCTGCCCTGCTGCACGAAATTAAAATGAGGCTTGACAAAGCAGATACAGAGTTAGTTACCTTCGCCAGCTACTCACTCACAAAAGTATCCGTAGCAAATGATCCAGTCGTTAAAATAATGAATGCTCACCCTTAATAGAAACTTCTGACTGTCATAAGATTAATGAAATAAACACGCACACAGCTTTTGCTCGCTAACAGTAAGGGTACCAATTTGTACATCATGCTACAGTTTTACTGTTTTTGGTTTTTTTTAAGCGTCCCTTAAGCAGTGACTTACTCTTGGCTTTTTTCTCAGCTTTCTACCAATAAAAATCGCCTTTACATTTATACACGTTTTATGTTACTTTGTTTAATGCGTTACAGGCATATTCACAGACGTGAAGGACCATGGTAGCCGAGAGAGCAAGCGTTACCCGGCGAAAATGAATGTCCCTGGGAGGAGTGGGAACAACTGAGCAGTGACTGGTGTCCTTACAAAGGGAAAGGACACTGATTCGTTCCGACGGGGATAGCACTTAGAAGCGGTAAGAAGAATACCCCCAAGTTCTAGGAGTTGAATAAACATCCTGTGATACGTACCATACTGCGTAACAAATGCTATGCACCTGTTCACAATAATGGGCACGTCATTTTTGCAGAGCTGTTGGTCTTGTAATGCGTTGCCATCTGTACCTGCTGCTTTCTCGATCGCAGTGTGCCAGACTGTGAAATCCAACTTGGTGTGCCCGTGGATGTACAGCGTTCTGTGGAGTTTTAAAAAAGCACTTCATATCATAATTTCGCTTTACTTAAAATTTACTCTCAACACAGACTGCCCTAAAATCCACATAAACGTGATCTGGTCTCACACTTTACACAAAGATAAACCCTTTATTTTCCTTTCCACCCACCAAGTGTCTCTCTGTCCCTCTGTTGTCTGTTAAGGTCACATAGCATAGAGGAAGCCATACTAATTACGTCTTCCTCTTCCAACTACCCAGCTCTCCAATTCTCTCTCTAAATAACTCAATGGAAACCACTGAAGCACCATCACAAAAATCTGAACTCTTTTCTTTTCTTGTCTTTTTTTTCTTTCCTGGTTCCTCTAATCTGCAATATTCACTTTGCAGTTTTGCAGTGTTACTTCAGAACTTTCCCTCCTGTTGAAGTCACCAAAACCCCTGGAAGAATTCGTTTCCTGATGACCTCTTTTCAGTCTCTACTCCTTACTGCAACCAAAATATTATTTTAACGAGAGGAGGCTGTCTACGGAGCCCCTGGTAATGGAACAGCGTTTATCCCTAGTGCATGAATGGACTTTGGGAACCCATTCCCCATAGAGGGATACTCTCTCAGCCTAGACACATGGGGAGGGCTGAGGTCCTGCCCCAAATGATGTGACAGACTTCGATGATCGCTCATGGAAGACCTCACCCTTTCTGCAAAGTGCACCCTTTCTGAGGGGGTGGGATGGGGCAGTCAGTGGGGGGCATGGGAGGATGGGAGGGAGAAGGAACTGGGATTGATATAGAAAATAAAATTGTTTCTAATTAAATTTTTAAAAAATAATAATAGAAAAAGAAAAAAGGATGAGGCTAATGGTACCAGTTTGCGATAATTTTCATGTCCTTAAAAAGCTTTTGTTTTCTCAATAGGAGTGTCTTCATGAGTTGCCCTGTTTTTGTTATTGTTTTGTTTTCTTCCCACTGTGACTCAGTAACATCTCATCTTTGCCTACACAGATACCTACTCCCAGCCAATGGTGTAACCCAAGTGAGGCTCCCAGATGCTCTTTGAGGTCGCTGTAGTTAAGCAAAATGGTACTTTAGTCTCTTCCCAAGACTGGTCTCTGGCATTTACTGGTATTTACCTCCAAACAATACCCTCACTACAAAACTTAAAAGCATTAAATACCAGCGCATCTCGTTTACTTACTCTAAAGGCACACTACTCAATCTTGGTTTTTAGCTAGGGTTTGGATACTCCAGATTCACAAGAACAAGGTGATGAATCTTGGGGCTTTTCTGGGGATTCAGTTAGAAGGAATACAATCATTCACATTTCTGAAAACCAGTCTGTTACTTTAAAAGAAAAAGGAAACCCGCCATCCTTTCCTATTCTATTTTATTTTTCTCTTCTTGCAATGCACTTCCAGGAACACAAAGCCAACAACAGCACTCTGACACCATTCTGAAGCTGCTGGAATTACTTTTTACCAGCCCTTGTGCTTGTAATCCTTGGCTCTTGCAGTCTGACATCTTCATCTATTGTTTTCATTTCCACTCTAACCCAAATGCCTGGACCCACACATTCTGTAAGTTTCTCTTTGACGAATTCTGACAGTGGTCCAATAGTTCTACAGCCCTTTAGCTTTTCCATTTACTGTACATCACCCAAAGCACCCTACCTTTGAATTTGTATCTACATGAAATAGCCCAGCAAATTATCTTCAAAAACAGGAAATACTTGTGTGTGTGTATAATTCTGATTTTTCTAAATTCATGTAAAGACAATAATCATATTTTCCTGATTTTTGATAATTTTTACTTCATAATTAAGTTGCCAGTGTGACTTAAAATACCTGGAAATCCAAAAGCAAGTATTCTAGCAGCCAGTGAAACAAACCCGAAACGTATGAGTGGCCCTTTAAGACCAATATAACCCTGTCACTAACTGTGGATATCTCAAACTCTGAATTCTCCTTCTAGTCAGAAGAAATCCCACAGTGGAAGGTTAGCTGTCGGCTTGTGAACTAGTGAGGGCTAGAACAAGTAATGACAAGTCAACTCCTGCGTCAACTTGTCAAATGGCGAACCTTAAAATATATCATCTACTACCACCCATGGGATGATTGACATTTAGCTACATCAGTTCAACAGCCTCATATCTGTTGCTGATTTAAACTCCAGGCACGCCGAGTAAAGCATCACAAGACATTTCAATGTAACTGCTGACCAACTTTGTAACTTTCAGTGTCCCTAAACTACCATTTCACATGCTGAATTTCAGATGAAAATTCACCTGTGCACTCAGTATCTGGAAAAAGTTATTTTGATAAACTCTGATCATAGCAGACTTGTTTATTATAACTGACAATCACCCAAAAGTAAATCTCAGTCACATAAAGGAACAATTAACATTTTTATTATCAATAAGGAAGTTTCACAGGCAGTTTTATGCAATATATAAATGAATTATCATTCATAATGGTTTGAGTCTAGTCAAGTCAAATGGACCTGAAGTCTCTTGAAATATCAATCAATAAGTAATCAGACTGTATAATAAATACATTTATCCATAAATACCTAAAGCTGAGAAGCAAATACCATATACCATAAGTATGACTTTAAAAGTGAATATCCTAAGCATTTATAGAAAAAATAAAAACTTTGTCTACTGCAAAATTACGGATATCAATCATTAAAGAATAATACATGTAAAAAATGCATAGATAATATGCATAAACTAGTCTAATAATCATATATATGTATATGTGTCACACACACATATATATATATACATACATACATATATATGATAAAAATATCAGAAGTTTTCCAAACATTTAAGATGAAACTAAAGAGTATGTAAGACAAAATATTTTATAGACTGCACAGATATTCTGAAAGACATTTGCCAATATGTACAAAGAAACTTAACACATATTTTGACAATTCTAAGCACAAGACTCTGAAACAAGCACACACATAATTTGATGTGAAGGCAAAAAAAAAAAATCTGTGTCTATCCCTCTGCCATGCATGTGTACTTAGCAAAAAGCATATTTACTAGAGTATCTGAAAATGGACATAACTTAGATCTGCCAAATTTGGGAAAGGTCAACTGACTTGGAATATATTATTCTACACATCTGGATAATGTGTATACAGGGCAGAGAATACGTCATTATACCCATGCATAAATTCTGAAGCATAAATTCTGTCTTATTTCCCAAAACATCAAACTGTCTCTAGTTAGAACACTCATGCATATTTTCTCTCTTTCTTCCTATATACCCCTGTTTTAAAAAAAGCTGTAAGAAGCAAATGACGTAAATCAAAGTATTCATTCATCACTTACAGTCCAGGCTTCTGAAGCCTGGGACAGACTTCTGAAGCAAATGCCACCTGTGTTCTCCAGTGAGCTTTGAAGCAGAGAAAGGGGAACCTGTCCACCAAGCTCTTCACTTTCGACAAACACACTAAAGCATAGAAGGCATTTGTTTGAGGCCCAAAGATCAGGAAGGGCTGAGAAGCTAGGTTTTTATTTATTTTATTTTTGAGAATTTTATACTTTCTGATGAAATGGGCCCCTTTTATCCCCTGAAATTTCTCCTCTACCCACTCTCCCACCACTTTTCACTCCCAACATCATGTAGTCTTTCATTGAAACCCATTGAGTCCACTGAGCACTGCCCATATGTGCATGGATATAGAGCCATCTACTGGAGAGGTTCGCCTCTCAAGACCCACATCTCAGAAAACTGATTCCTTCTCCCTCAGAAGTCAGCAACTGCCAAGATCGCCATTCTAAATCTACCATTTATCACCTAGTCCATGCACTAGAGAAATGAAATCCTGAATTCTTGGTCTTCAGTTCCAAGACATGCTTGTTCAAGAAGTGACATTATTGTCACTACTTCTTACTCTTCTTATGACAGAATCACAAAACATGGTTTCCCGAAGAAGACAGCACTGGAAGGGGCCTGGAACTTGATCTAATGGAACACAGTAAGATCTATTTCTCTTCAGTTAAAGGAGTGGTCATGTAAGCCTTTAATCCCAGAACCAAGGAAGCAGACAGACAGACCTCCCCAGCTGGGTTCAAAGTTGGTCTGATCTACATACAAAATATCATGTCTTCAAGTAAGAGAGAAAGAAACAGAGACACAGAGCCAGAGGTAGATAGGAAGAGAGAGAAAGTATATTTTCTGCCTAGCAAATTGTTCTATATCTGCAAAGGATATGGCTCTAAGACACCTGGAAATGCCCACTGTAGTTTCTATCTCCTAAGAAACGCTCAAAGAAGAGCACAATAATCACCACAGTAGGCTTTTTGTGTCTAATAGGAAAAGATGAAACATATTACTGCGATGAGTGGCATTTGCTAATTAGATTTGTAATGCACTCATTTTAATTGCGTGGTCAAAACGTCCATGTGACTCCTAGCAAAATCAATACGTAAAACATTCCCATCATTTACAAAACTCCCACATAATTCTTTGCCATGAATCCTTTCTTCTATCTGTCATACACACACGCGCACACACACACACACACATACACAATAAATAAATAAATACATAAATAAATAAATAAATAAATAAATCTTGTCAGTTCTTTATCATCGTATATTGGACTCCTAGATGATCATTTCCTATAAATGAATGAACACGCTGTTACACTTGGCATCTGGTTTCATTTAATCAGTACAAAATACTCTTACGATTTGGTTATATTGTTAATACAGATATCTCTAGAATAGTAATTAATTAGTATTCAATGCATGAATGCACAGCATACTTTGTTGGTCCATTCACTCACAAGGGAACGCCTATTCTCTTCCAACTTTTTAGTTTTAGAAACTGAGCTGACTTGTACCATTGTACTGTTATGGCTGCATGTTGTAATGCATTTTGAATATGCTAAAGCTAATTCACTAGAATATAGAGTAAGTATACGTTATTTTAAAAATTAATGTCACTGGGGAGATGACTCAGTGTATAAAGTGTTTGCCACATAAGCTTGAGGACCAAGTTTAGCAA